ACACACACACACACACACACACACACACACACACACTACCCATATCAAAAATAAAAAATATTGTTTCAAATAAAACAATTACATTAGGAAATTGTGCCAAGTTTAACATGGGATTTCTAAAAATAAATGGTGTCCAAGGTCCTTGAATTGATGGAAATTCTGTATGCCAAAGTTTACGTAATCTCAATGAAGGACCATCATGAAACTGCGTTCGTAACAGTTCCATCCATTTTATAATATCATCTCGACTATAATTTGCAACTTCCATCCATTGTCTATCGCCATTCACTGGACAGGATATATATCGTGTATTAGTGTTATGTCAATAAGATCTAAAATAATAATCATATATTTTCCAAACAAATGCACATACAATATTCGGCAACTATAACCGGATGCCTGTGTCTTCTTGGTTTAATATATACCACTATTCCTGGATTTTCTTTCGCATAATTGACTAGATCATGCTCTATAAAGTTCCTACAAAAAAAATAAATACCAATTTAAAATGAAAAAATGAGAAATATCAATTTTGAGCTTTATCACGTAAAATATATCTATATACTAGAGGTTAGACGAATCACCTCATTCCTCTACTTCCACCGTGACTTTTGCAAAACTTTAAAGTTATTCTTTGCAACTGGCAGACATAACGTCCGATTCCGAGACCAAAAGGTGCTCGTGGAAATCCTGATTTGAGAAATAAATGTTTATTCGACATAATATTGTATCGCGTGAAGCGTGAATAATGCTACGAATGAAATCTCGTTACAAGCTAGTATTGTGATTTGTGATCGGTATTACTGAGACTTTTGGTCGTGCAACAGCAGCGCACACTGTCGCAACAACTACGATCTATATGAATTCTACGATTGTGTTTCGATTTACGATCGTGTTATATTCATATACTCATAATGCTCGTGAATAACATTTAAAAATGTTTAATATTTGATAAATAACAAAGATGAAATGATGAGCACTGGAGCGAATACGTGCAACCTATGAGTTACAATCCAGCAAACGAGAACAAATTGGATTGAATAAATCTGTATGAATCAAGTTTCCGAATCCGTGAAAAAGATATTTAATTTTATAGATTCTGAATACATTGAATTCGTTTTCTATATGTCTACTTACAATAATGTGGGTTCTGGTAGATTCAAAAATGAAAATATGAATCCATTCCCTATGCCTGTAGTTATACAAAATTCGTGGACTCAAGTGGATAATAAAAGCAAATGGCTAATCCACAATTACGAATTGAAACGAATTGGTAGCAATTTCACTTTGATATTCATTGGGTGAGAGATACAAAAAGCAAATGGCTAATCTGTATTTACGGTTTCAAATGGATTGGTCGCATGTTTCATTTTCTATGCACATTGCATGAGATACAAGAAATAAATAGCCAATCTGTAATTAGTGATTTCAAATAGATTATGGATAGAAAATAGATTCAAAAAATTCAAAAACTTCATTCGACATCGCTTCAATGAATAATTTTCAATTGTTTAACGAAAAAAATCTTCGAGCGCGCGACTTATGATTTTAATTTTATTTAAAAATATAAAGATATAATCTTTAAAATTATAGTTGTCTTTACGAAAATATATTTCATTTTTATTAACAGAAATTATCCCACAATTTAAAACATTAGATTCCGATTCTTGATACACTTGGTGCTACAAATGCTACAAGGCATTTTTTGATTAATTCATATTTTTTGATTAATTCATATTTTTTGTTCTGATTAGTTAATCAAATCCTTCGAAGTATTTGTAGTAGCAAATAGATCGCACCCATTATTAGCTGATGACTCATAAACATTTAAATTTTTTATCCTTTATTTGAAGAATTAAACATTTTAATTAATTATTCTTCAATTTTAAATATATATATATATATATATATATATATATATATATATACACACATATACATACATACATACATCTAAGATCATATATTTTATCTTGGAAAATTTGTGCACACTTTGGATTCGCTGCTTTAATCCGACGATACTTTTTCATACATTAGCTTGATCTGATTCAGTCGTTTTCTATTCATCATTATTTTTTTTTTCACATACAATTTTCTTTACATGATACAAAGACTATGTTGTATATTCTGTAAAGTCGTCCATATAGACTCGTTTGTTGGTTCTCGGTGATAATTCATCTGTGGTAGTTTCTGGATTATTGTTAATGTATTCTTGCAATATTCTGTTTCTTAATCGCTTGATATGACGTAAACGTTCCAACCAATTAGAAGCATATGGATTATGACTGTTCTGTTTCAAAGACGAACAAACCATTGAAGCTAACTGTAATATAAATATATATTATATTATAGTAAATATATGAGTAAATATATGAGTAAATATATGAGTAAATATATGAGCACGAGTGTGGTATAGCAGCCAGTGCACTGGTCTACTATACCACAGATCCTATTTAAATTTGCATCCCGGCAGAATCAAAAATGTTTTTATATGTTCGTGTCTCCTCTTCGGCGATCTGGCAAACCGCCAAGAGTATTCTCATCTCACGGAAACTTCTTTCAATCAAGCCGTTCAGATTCGGCATTTAAATTGCATATCTCATATGCCTGTGTGCAATCTGCGTATACACTACAGGCGTATACGCAAGCGAGAGAAGTAGGCCTGAGTTCGACTTGGATTGTAGCGCCATTGATGACGATGATAGCAAATATATATGTTTCTTTATAAAAGCTTTTCTCTGATACTTACATTAGCATGTAGAGCAAGTTGCCGAGAAAGAATAGCCAAATTTTGATCTGAAATTATTTTAGGTTCGCTATGACCAATATGCTCCGCTAATTCTTCTCGTGCTTGTACTGTAACCTGGTTAGTACCATGGTCTAAAGGTTGTATCACAACACAGGCATAATTAAATTGACCCTGAAAGAGAAAATATTATAAAAATTACATATAATAAAATTTATAATGGCTTTAATTTTGTACATACTTTAACTGTCTGTATGTTGTATGATTCTTCAGATTCATTGTATACAAGTGTTACATAATTATTTCCAATATGTGTCTTTTTAGATGTACATTTTGGATCACTTGCTTTCGTAGGCATTAATGTTGCAACGTGAAAAGCTACCTAGAAAAATTTAAATTATTTTATTTGGAAAGAATTATTGTGTTTGCAAAGGAATTAATTATATTATTATTGATTATTGATATATATTTAATACATAACAGATTGATTTACAGACCTGTGTAACATCATCTTGCCAAATATAAGCAAATTCTCCATTCTCGCCATTACGATCTAATCCACCCAAAAATACATTTTCGTCAACATCTTTTAATCGGACCAATGTTCCTAAACGTTTCAAAAATTCAGTATAACGAAGGGAACCATGTTGATTTGCCAGAATTTCAATTTCATTCGAAGCTTGTCCTGGGCCGACGTAGAGTACTCCAATTTTATGAGTTTCATATGGCTGTATTCTATCTAAATTTGTTACTGCGCGTTGTATGGCTGTCGTCTGAGGAACCAACAAAGGTTTTTCTGTGGTGGTACCAAAGTGTGCTGCATGATAAAGTTGAAGGAATACAAAACTGTAATGAAGCAATATATTAATTTCTATTCTTTACAAAAAAAAGCAATTGTTCCATCATAATAATATAAAAGAGATGAAAATTCCTAATATTATGATTTCTCATTGAAAAATATATACAATAAACATGATACCTCGGATTAATGCCTGTTCGTGGCGGCTCTTTTACTCGAGGAGAATTGCCTCGTCGCATGTTATCCCATTCTCGTGATTTTTTTACTGGACTCATAACGGAAATTGTATGACCTCTGTCGCGGAAAGGTATAGGTAAAGGAGGCAATGTAGACGGATCTGGCCTTTCATCCTTTTGCTAAAAACAATAATTAAAGTTAATTGTAGCTAATACATAATATATAAAAAAATAAGAATTTTTTTTATATACTTTATCTGCAATATGAATTCGCCCAATAGGTGGTTTACTTTCAACAGTTGATGACATTTGTTTCTGATTGTAATCAAGACTGGATAATCGGGAATAAATTTGAGTAGGTGATTGAGGCGCTTTTGTAATAGATGATTGTATTTGTACAGAACGTGTTTGTATTGCTAAATAATTTCCTGGTGCCTACAATAATTTTCACATCATAGAATGTTATTTTCATTTTATTAGTTATTTTATTAATTATTAATGCATATATATAAATGCATATATATAAATAATTATCTCAATTATTAACATATATGTATGAATTATCTCTACCTGCATACTTGTGGGAGATGGTGGTACTGTATTACTAATTGTCGAAATAGTTTGAGTAACTTGCGTTGCTCCTGGATAGGAACGTTGCGAACGTAATGAAATTGGATGCTCTCCAGTATTTTCTGAAGAAGGTGGAGTTGTCCCCATACCAAATATTTCTTCTGGTATAGCTTCACAACTAACTCTGTCAAGTAAACAAATATTGAACATTGTGAAAAATATTTTTTCCTGATAATAACCAATCTAATATAAAAAAATCGAATTAAGTTTTAATAATGATTTACTATCTATTTATGAATACGAGTACTTCCTGGAAATGTGTGCGAGTTCTTTAACATTTTTATTTGTTGCCATTCATTACAAATAATAATAAATATTTGGTAAATGTTAAGTTTATCTCCCTGAACGCCAATTTCGATAATTTCGAAATTGGAGATAAGAGATAAATATTTTCGATAAAAATATACCTCATATCTTTTGTATAAATATTTTTCGAATGTTTTTTCAAATCTGCATCCAGTTTAATTTCTAAATCCGAGCAAGTAAAATCTTTGTCGATTTGCTGCTGCACGTTTAGCTTTTCTTTATTTAAAAATGGATTTTTCCAATTAGCGCTCATTTCTGGACTAGAATTCGATCGACGTACTGGATTTCTGGAACGCCGAGTATCTATAGAAGATTTCCATTCTTTTAGATAATTATTTAAAAAAAATAAACTATTATATAATGTAATGTATAATACATACCTTCTTCACCTTCCTCTAAACTTTCCAAACTGTCTCTTGAGCTTTGTCGGGATGGACTAGGTCGAGCTGGCGAACCAGGTATTGCGATTGGACCCGATGCTACAGAAGAAATTAATGGTTTCATGCTATGTTCATTTTGCGACTGACTATTATTTTTGCTCGGCACATCCTGTAATAGGAAATACTGTTAGTTCTTTTTTTTCTTCAAATAATTCGCAGTTAATTAATTTCGGAAATACTTCTGTTTCGTCATCAGAATATTCTGAAGTAGCCTCTGGTTTATTTGGTATTGCATCTTGATTTGGCATATACAAAGCCATGATATCATGTACAGGAAAGTCTATAGGAGTTTCAAATTGTGTAGAATTCTGGATTCTCATAATCCACGACATATCACCTGTAGGTCTACGAACATATATTTCAGCCCATCCTTGACACCAACAAGCACAAAGTATATGTTCATCTTGTTTATCGCTATTTAATATCTGTCCTAATTTTGATGATTCATTTTGTTCCTTGTCAGTCTTCTCTATAAACAATTCCTTTTTCATACTATCAGAATCTTCCATAGATTTTTTAGATTCTTCTGTAGGAGAATTTGTAGCAGTATTTGCATTTGAATTTCCATGACCACCAGACGATTGTCTAGATAATTTGTCTTCTTTTGATGTCTAATAATATAAATTTCTTATGTAATATATTTTTTTAAGTACATGTAATATAATATAAGTATACCGTGTTCCTAGTACAATATACAAAAAAGACCAATATTGTAATATATCATGAATAAATATTGTTCAAATATATACACATCACAATAATATATTATTCTATTTTAAATAATATTTTGAAATATCTATATAAATTTATTTTTTTTTGCAAAACATATAAATGCAATTATATTTTGCAAGATATATATTTGCAATTATATAAATATACCTCAATACTTGAAGTACGTTGTAAATTTGAGTAAGAAGTTTTTGTATGATCAAATAATAAAAAGCCAGGTTTACATGCTACCCAACAATTGTCACAAAGTCCACCACGCATAGCCTTATTATTACAACCACTTGTCGTCACAGTGATAAGCCTATTACCAAGAATCCAAGTCATTGATTGACCTTCTTTAAGAAGAAAATCGGCAGCTGGTAATCTGTTGTAAAATCAATATAATTTGTTATGTATTTGCTTTAATTAATCAAGATTATAATAAATTACCTTTTAGGGCGTGCTGAATAATTGGAAAATGTATAACGAGCCATTAAATCAATACAAGTTTCAATAAGTTCGATATGAAAGTTCATTAAACCTTCATCCATTGGAGGCTTTAAATCTAAAGCTCTACTTTCTCCTATCATTCGATTGGACATTATTGGTCTTTCTCTTCGACCTCTACTACCCTATATACATATATACACACACACACATATATATATATATATATATATATATATATATAAAAATTTTATTCTATTGATGGAATAATTACCAAATAACGTGTTGTTGATACATCATGGAAGACTGAAGGATCTCTGTAATGTTGTTCAAGATGATTTACTAGAATTTTATAAGCACAGATTGCATGACTCGATGGCAAACGATAAATCTTGGAAGTAAATATCTTTATAATTCCAACCACAGCAGTTTTTACATCTTTAATATCGGCATCCATAGATATTGGAGCGTCTGATGTAAAAGGTTTGTTGATTATCTAAAATAGATGTTATATGTCTCACATATTATAGATATGTACACACATACACACGTATGTTCTTTCTACAAAACAATGCTAATACCTTTTCCAATATGTCTAAAAGTTCAATGCATCGCTTAGAGTCACATTCCAGACAAAGATCTATTATTAAATTTGCCGTCATAGTACGTATTGTAATATCTGTATCTATATCCACATGCTGCGTATATGGTACAACTATTCGCTCAATAAGTTCATCTTCATATCTAGACCTATTAAATATTTGTATCATACATATCTGTACATATGTGTACGTACTGTTATGTACATGTACATATACATATATGTACATGTACATATGCATATGACAGTTGCAGCAATTACATTATATTAAAAATTAAAAAAAAATGTATACCTATTAATATAAATAACATTAGCTAAAACATCTAAAACTTTCATTCTAATGCTTGTACGTGTTTCAATTTTATAGTAACGTTCCATCAAAGACCCTAATTTGGTCTGCCATTGGTGATAAGTAGGACCTATTGTAGAAGCTCTATATTCAATTAATTTTAATACAGATCCTTCCTGAAAATAAAAATTAATAATAAATATCTACAAACATATTTTATATCATTTCGTATTTATATGCACTTACAGGTCGAGAATCACTACAACGTTCGACAAGATCATAAAAACGTTGAATACAACCATTATAATTATTTGCATCAAGCAAACTTTCAATGTTGCTAATTGTCTCGTGCAAACTTGCAGAAACTTGTTTAGTTGCCGGCTGATTACTGGTCTCTAAAACAACATAAAAATCATTATGTATAGAGTAGCTATACACATACATGCGCGCGCACGCATATATAAAACGTGGCTAATGTTCGTCTTTTAACTTAAATAAATATAATATTTTAAAATTAGCTTTACCAGTATGAGTGATTATTTCTTCTATAATATCAAGGATTATACTCCACGTAGGATCCCATAATTCATTTCCATATTTATTTACCAATCTTTGTATCGATAGAGTAACTTCATACATAACAATTGGATGATTGCATTGTAGAGCCTGTGAATATAAGAGTTGAATATTTTATTCTGTCAGACATTACACACATACATACATACTTGATAGAATGAAGGTAAAACAGATGCTGGTGTACATTCTAATTTTGGTATTCTATGCGTACCCCATAAACCCATGTTTACATAAAATACGGCACCTCGTAATAGGCGAACATCACGTTGAAAAATTGTATCTTGTAACAAGCGACACATTGTATACAAAGCACAATGACCCATATGTGTTCCTAATAGATTCCGCATAATCTGTAAAACCATATAATATATAGTTTTCAGTACTTTTCTTGGAAATTTCTAACAATAAATATGTGCAACTATGTCCTAATTTATTAAGATTTTATTTTGAAAAAGAAAAAAAATTACTTGTATATATGTGTATGTTCATATGTATTGTATAATTATATAACATGAAAGTAAATATTTGATATTTACATTTGTGACAGGTATTAATAAAGAAAGAAAGAAAAAATGTATTTAAATACTATTGTTTGTACCTTCCAACTTGTTTGGCAATAAGTTTCAACATTTACACTTCTGCATAAGGCTATAATAAATGTTTGCAACGAATCAGATTGTAAATTACTGTAACACATGATTGCATCAAGAGCTTCCAAACATCCAGAAACAACTTCGGTATTATTACTATAATAACATAAATGGGAGATATACCTGAAAGATATTTATGATAATCTGTTTATTTGCATATTGAATAATTTAATTTAAAAATGAATATAATTTTGATGTATTTACTGAACAAGACCAGATATAATATCTTCGTCAATATAAGCCGAATTAAATTTGATAACATTTACAAGGAGAGATAGAAATTCAGCTCCTCTTTTTCCATCTCCTGCTGTTACCGTAGGCATCCATTCCAACAAAAAAGGGCCCATTCTTTCTTCCAAATGTAAAATATCTTTTCCATATTCGGTTAATGTTTGCAACAATTCCAATCTGAAATATTTAAAAAGCAATAGACAAAAGATTAACAGGGAAAAAGTAATAAACCTGTCGCCTGATAGGATACCTAGGACCAATATCTTCAGGAATATCGTATTCCTTCACTACCATGAAAAATTTTACTCGCATCAATGACGTAAGTTTAGAATATTGTCCTTGTACAAGGCATTTCAAAAAATTCAATGTTAAATGCCTGTATTCACGAGGAACATCCTTTCCTAGTAAATCTTTAACCAAATTCCACAAACGTTCTGCTGCTCTCTATTTTTAAAAACAAATAAATTGAATTACACATAAAATATTACTTTTTAAATATTTTACGCGTGTAAATCTATTTAGAACGACATCCTGTACTCTTCTTGTGCATCTATATACATACATCCTCCCATTGTTGATTGAGCACTGCCTCGCGAAGCTCTTTGATTGCCTTTGTACGATGATGCACCGGACTATCGGAGCTTATTTCTTTTTCGATATCGTAAGTCAAAATAAATTCTTCGCGACTTTTGTAACTTCCTGCAAAGATGACCGATACGATTATAAATACATCTATCGAATGTAACAGGTAAAATTTGCAATATATAAATATCCGAAACAACACCTTCACATTCACCTTTATTCAGCCGAAAAAAGTGCTTCAGCCTATCTTGTAATGTTTTATTATCTTTGTCTTTCGAACTCATTTTTGACATTTTAGTTCTGCATTCAAAGAAAGTTTTGCAAACAAATATGTCTCGCGAATATTACACTGACGCATCAAAAGTAGATGCGACTAAACTGCTGGTTGAATGTGGAATACACAGGAACATCAAGAATCGATGATTGGTGGACTACCACCGGCAACGGTGATGCCACCTATATTTGGAAAATGTGGCTCTCTCTCTCTCTCTCTCTCTCTCTCTCTCTCTCTCTCTCTCTCTCTCGAAACTCTTTGTAACTACACAGTTTGCACATTCGAATTTTTCCGCGATAAATAAGATTGGATTTGAGTCTTCACTAGTAATAATTGTAATATCAGAGAGAAGCCTGAGAATGATCATGGACGCGTTTTAGCTGTATCCTTATTCGCGTAGGTAATGTGCACGTTTTTGTGGTTCTCTTCCGTGCTAGACGCAAGAGTGATAAAGAGGGGCGATATGGACATGACTCTCCATCTTTATTACTCTTACGTCTAGCACCACTTTTTAGGCTTCTCTCTCTGATGATAATATATTCACGCGACACAATTATCCACAATTACCTTTAAGTAGCCCAGTTGGTAATCAAGAAACTTTATCGACTTGACGAAACTTGATCATCCAATCTTTGTTAATGTCCGAGTTGCGCCGTAGAGAGTTGATTTTACGTTTATATGCATTATTCATTGCCAAATATTTCTAAAAAAAACGATTCCGAGCGTTTCTAGATCTTTTAAAGCTTGAACATTTTTAGATGTAAAAATCTAAATTTATCACAAATGGCAAAATACTGAAATGTAATTAGGGATAAGGTAAAACAAGTCATAACTCCAAGAATTTTATTTAAAACAAAAAAAAAGAAAGAAAACAAATTTATTATTCTTTTATCTACATTTTATAATAAAACTATAATTATAATAGATTACAATTAATAATAACATATTAGTTGTACAATAATAGGAAATGTTAGAGTATCAGATTTTAATTCGATAATAAACACTCACCTTTTATAAATCGCATTACCTTCTGTGATGAACTATACGTGTACTCTAATCAATTAATATTGATAAGTAATTCAAATAACACATATTTAAAAGATATTTTAAGACATTATGACGTCCTCAAAGCTTGGAACATCATATTTTCTGGACAATATAAATAGCTGTACATATACTCTCAGAAATATAAATTTGTACACAAATAATCCTAAAATAATTTATACAAGATGTATGAAAAGAGAATTCCAATACTCAATAATGTTAATGACTAAATTTATTGGTTATTTTGCAGTATATTTCCTTATAAAATTCCAGTATCGATATCATGCATATACACACCATTATTTTCTCTTTTTTCTTTTCAATGTATAGTATTTTGCAGTATTCTATCCCTCCTGTTTCGTCGTGCCAGATTGTTCGACCTTCCTTTTTGATATCTTTGTCACGCTCATTGCCTCATCGCTTTCTTTCGTTCCAACTTGAGAGAATGCGTCAGAACAGCAACCACACAACCACACTGCTGACAATGAATACTACTGAGCCGTTCTGCCGCTGAATCCATCGTGACTCGAGAGGCAGATTTCAGTGTCGTGCAGCGTCGTGGCAACTACTGACACTGACGGCAAACGGCAAGTGACGATTAGTTTCGACTACGCAGTTTCGACTACGCAGTGCAACCAGAAACGTAGCGTACAGGAACGATCAGGTGAACTAACGCGAATAAAATCCTTTTGGTTTCCTTGCGTAAAGAAAACTTTCTTGAAAATATTTACTTACGTGTATAAATATTTTAAATCCTTTTTTCTCTCTTTCAATAGTAGATCAATAATTATATTATGATACATGTCATAAGAATGTTTATCGCTGAATGATATAGAAAAAATTTCAGAGTATAAACATAGCTAGATGCAATTAGACACAACTTTCCGGGCAATTTTTCCTAGTTTTCCATGCGAAATGTTCATATAACTTGCTGCAATTAGTACAGCAATCAATATCTTCGTGCATAGAAGCGGATATTATATCACAATATTCTACCTTGATCGTAATATTCATTCTTAATTTCTCACGATTCTTGTGGCGATAACAAGTAAAAAATTGTTACAAACGGTACATATGGCCGATGTACGTGTGGTGAATCTGTGTGGTGAATCTCCCTCCTCTCGGATGATATTGCGTTGTATTTGATCCAAGGACAACAATGGTACGAAAATACCATAAAATGCCAAATTTGGGACTATTATAAAACTTCTGCATATAATAAAAAAACATCAAATCGGCTGATAACCAACTATTTCTATGACATTTGCAAAACAAATAGCACATTGTATGAAATAGATGAAGCTGCCTCTTGATTTTTTTCAAATCCAAAATCTCAATTTCAAATTTCGACAAGTATTCGACCATTTATATTGTATAATTTGCTCAAAAATTTCACAACTATATGAAAAAACATTTAAAAACAGCCATATTTAATATTTAAAAACAGCAAAGTCCTTTGATGGAGAATCAATTCTGTAAATACAGTCTTCCTCGATGATTTATTATAAATTTTTTGTTTTACATCTTTATTCATTTTGCTTCCAGAAAATGTTCTCGCGCAATATGTTTAGTCTTCTTTCTGGGACATTGCTAATAATTGCCATTATTCCGAATGTGGCAGCTTATAACAGTAAGTGATCATTAATAAATTTCTATGATTGATTAAAAATATTGTAAAGTACATTAAGAGAAAGTACCATCTTATTTTTCTTTACTTTTTTTAGAATATGGAAGAACCTGTAAAGACATTGGCTGTCGCAGTGATGAAACATGTGTGATGGCTGAGGATCCTTGTACTGGCTATACGGATAAATGTGGACGATATCCAACTTGTCGAAAGACAAATGGTAAGAAACAATATCAAATAATATAATGAAAGCTCTCTTGGAAGTTGTTTAATTCCTTATCGAATATTTATGATAGAGCATGTAGTATGTTTATATCTTGATGTTTTTACAGATGCAAGTTGTACTAGTATGGTTTGTGGAGAGAATGAATATTGTAAAAGCGAAAATGGTGCACCGAGGTGCGTGAGAAAATCTACAGGATTAGGTAAGTTGTCATTATCTTGTCTCATTTCGCCTTCTGTATGCGTCTATTCGACACATTGCGAGCATGAAAACATAAAAGCGGTGACTAACGCTTGAATAAAGTGCATGAAATTCCATTCGATCAAGTGGAATAGATTATTTGGAATCGTAAAATTTCAAAATTTTTATATTTGTGAGAAAGATGGGTGCTTAACATTACGAAGCTCATAGCATGTGCAGCGTTGGAATGAGAAAGGCATGATTCTTAAAAAAGATGAAACAGAGAAATATATCTATTTAATAGTCATGTCCTAAAATCACGTTTCATGATTTTTCGACGCGCGCGTCGAAATATGTATCTTTTAGTCTAATTGTAGAATAACCGTTGCTAGATTATTCGATATAAAAACAGTATTCGATATATTGTTTGTTAACTTATGATATAATTAATTTACAATTTCCATCAAATGTACATAGCTCATGTGCTATTCACAATATGAAATTTCAAAATGAAATATGAATATAATAATTTCAATATAAAATTTCAAACGATGTAACAATCAAAATTATCTTATACATGTACTGTATAATCACTGCATCAAAATGTTGTTTGTTTCAAGTTTGCAATTTTATTGATTTAACAATTTTGATTTGTGCGTAAAAAGAATTGTGTATTCTGTTAAGTTTTTTAAGATGTAGTGATTCTCCTTTTTTAACCTAATTTACATAATTTGAAAAAGAAGACTCAATACATCATTTTTTATTTCTAAATTCTAGATACAAGATCTACCGATAATTTATTATTTATTATCCATATCAACATGTTTGTTATTTGAATATGAACTGTATATCAGTACTGTATAATATGAAAACATACAAACATGTTGATTTACTTTTCCTTTCACATAAATATTTAAAATCATTTTCGATATAGTGTAGATTGCTCCTCTATTTGCAAATATTTTATTTATACAATCTTTTAATATTTCTCTCGGAAAAAGTTTTCTAGTATCATCCTTGCTCAATTCAAGCTTGAGCAAAAGAAATAATAAATAATTTAATAATAATGTTATTTAATATAGCAAGAAAATTTAAAACTATATTTATTATATCAAGTAATCATCTTGCAATGTTTCGTATAATCTATATTTCGCATATTCCATTTACGTGTTTGCTAAAAATATGCACAATACGAAGAGAATGAGCCTCCTTACAGGCTACGAATCAGCTGGTGTTTCTTATGTGAATGGCGAGCGAATAAGTGGAAATAACGCGAATCCATATGCGAACGCCAATGCTCCACCAATGTCGGCATATCCGTCCGGTGACAACAGCGAACATCATCGATCTTCCTTTGGAAACAACTTGGGATACCCACCATATCCTGGTAACACTGGTTCCTCTGCAAGTGGATATCCACCATATCCACAATCAAATAATCAAGCTGGTCGTCATAATAACTTGGGATATCCACCATATCCGACGGAAAATAGAATGCCTACACCAGGACAGTCAGCTTATCCAGGTTATCCGCAAAACACCGGATATCCTCCGGCACCAGCAAATTATCCATCGGGATACCAAAATTATCCTTATCAAAATAATCCGAACCAACGTGGTTATCACTACAATTCAAATTCGATCTATCGTAGAAATACCGCATCGGTCGAATCGGTCGCCTCCATGATTCTTATCGGGTTTTCTGAATTATTTCTTCTCGTTGCAACGCGATGGTGATCCTCCAGCTGAAAGTGTAGTGTTTTATTTGCATCATGTTTATTGTTATGCTATTTCTAATCTTATTTGCAGCATACTCCATGACTATTTATTAAGAAAAATATTCTTGTAAAAAGTGTCATGTAAATTTTTGTACAGATATTTTATAATGTAAATTAAGCACGAAATGGATTTTTTAAGATATAGTTTTATAATGTTCTATATTTTTTTATAACTACATCATATATATTGAAATTATATGTATAATTAATTATATGTATAATGAATTGAACATTATTCTATATTGACAAATATATATATATATATATATATATATATAATAAATACTATTTTGTTGTGTGTGTGTGTGTGCGCGCGCGCGCGCGCGTGTGTGTGTGTGTGTGTGTGTGTGTGTGTCATATATATCATATTTTAAAGAAAACAATCTTTTTTTTATTAAATGATTTTTTTCTAATTTACGAGGAAGGAAATTCATTTTCATTTCAATATCATTTGTTCCAATGTACCATTATGATTAGAGACTTAAAAAAGAATTCTAATTTATTTCATACATAATTATATGCATATACATAATTATATGTATGTGTGCACGTATATGTTTATAATTTATATAACATGCTTTTGAAATAGAGAAATAGATTTTTTCGATAAGTCATATATTTTTTTATTTCTTTACATTATCATAATTTACTTATAAAACGCTTTATGAGCAATTTACAGTCAACATGGGTAATAAGTATTTTACAAATGAACGGGTTATCGGCTTGAACCTTGACATGTGTTATCTCTTCATTCGCTGTATAACGCATAAGCAAATTTAAACAAGCTACGTCTTACCAATATTGTTTTTCCTTTCAATTTAAAACTAACCAATTACATCAATAACATATAATACAATATATATATATACACACACACACACACACACAAATTATTGCGGATGCAAACAATTATTTTATTTTACACGCAGAAATCCCGTTAACAATCTACAATTGTTTTGTAGCAAAAGATGAATAGATAACACCGCACTATTATTAGTACACACAAAAAAAATCGTATTACAACTTTATTATAAGCGATTTTAATCGATCTTCTTGTAAAAATATGTTGAACTATCAAAGAAATTATAAAAATAATGTGCAATATTTTGTGTATTGTATTATTTTCTTACTGCAAGAGAATTAATTATGATAACTGGTAAAAGTTTTAACTAAAGGTTTTGATTTTCGTATTAGTTTTTTTTTATTATATGATTTAACAGCACTACCTCCAGGAATAAACCAAGTATCGCATCGAACAATCACGCCGAAAGTACCAACGACACCATCACCGCCGCCTAGATCTTCATCTTATGGAGGAAGATATAACGGTTTCTCCGGATCCAGAAACACCATAGGTGATGGTTCCATCTTCAATCGTATATTCGGCAACCGTCATCCTCAGCCTACTAGTTCTATCCGAAGCATTACGCAAAGGAATGATTATTACGACACTCATACTCGTGTAGATAGTAATGGGAACAGAGTCTGGACATTTTCTAGTTAAAAATCCATTTATATATTTCCATTTATATGCTCCTAATTCTAATATTAATATAAAATAAATGCCAATATCGATGTTTATATATGTTACACAAAAAACTGAATTCTATAAAATTTTAATCTATGAAAAAAGCAAATGTAATATTAATTATAAATAAAATTTATAATAAAATAAATTTCATTTCTAAATGCGAAATTCTTATATAATTTATAATCATAATAGAAATATCAAATTAATGTATAATTTTCATAATTACATTATTTGCTAGTAATCACAGTCCTTCAAATAAAGTTATTCGATTATAATATAAAGTCATAAAATTATTTTATTCGTCTCATTAAATTATTATATAAAGAAATTGTATGTTACATTTGAGTCTACATTACTTGAAAATTTCTATATTTTTTCTGCTTTTGATTTCCAGTCTAATTTCAGAATAAAGATTCTTATTTTTTACTTTAAAATATCAAAAGTATCTTTGCTTCAATCAATTCGGCCATTCGATCACTATAATTCATCATTCGATCAGAGGATAATAATAATACATAATAATAGACCCATCATGCAAATATAAATCTGTGTGTCCGTGCGTGTACATACATATAAAATTTATATAGTTATATATATTTTGCGACACGACTTTCAATAAATTTAAAAAGTAACTCAAACATAATATGTTTTATTATTTTGTATTTAATACATTTTAAGGAACGTGGTCGTGCACATGATCGCATGTAATATTTCCAATTTGCATGTATGCATGATAGATTTCTGATATGCTTCTTTATAAAAATATAAATTATATATATTCCTTCGTTATACTTTACTCCTTGTCATTTATTATTATATACAGACAATGAAGAAACGGAGACACGAACAGTTTCAAAACGGCAGACTAATTATCCAACGGAAACTGATGTACATGGCTCTTCAGATACTTCTAAGAATTCAGATGGCCAATCATATTCTGCCAGATCTTCCGGATATCCATCCAGTTCAGGATATCCTAGTAGTAGTGGTTATCCAAATTCTGGATCTTCAAGAGCTCCCGATTCAACAAATCAACTCCAATCTGGTTCTCCATCCAGTGATTCTATCGACTCTTCATCTGGTAGATCATCTGGATATCCGTCTAGTGGATCATCCGGATATCCGTCTAGTGGATCATCCAGATATCCGTCTAGTGGATCATCCGGATATCCGTCTACTGGATCATCCGGATATCCGTCTAGTGGATCATCCGGCTATCCGTCTAGCGCGTCATCCGGTTATCCATCCAATGGACCATCTCGTTATCCGTCTAGTGGATCATCAGGTTACCCATCTAGTGGATCTTCCGGTTATTCTTCTAGCGGATCGTCTGGATATCCATCCAGTCAATCATCTGGTTATCCATCTAGCGGACCATCTGGTTACCCATCCAGAAGTAGTTCTAGTTATCCAACAAGATCTAGATATCCAAATGGGGATTCGTCAGGATATCCAATCAATTCTAGGAATCCTTATAGCGAAGGAACTATTAGACGAACCGATGCTAATTCTGTAAACGCTGGCTATCCGAATTATCCACGCACATCTACATATCCAGAAAGAAATCCGTCGTATCCTGGCAATTATCCGGCTCAAAATCCTTCTCCAGGATACCCTTACGGCAATCAACGTTCTCCATCTCCGTATCCCTATCAAGGTTATTCGCAAGGATATCCACAAAACTATCCGCAAGGAGGATATTACCCAAGTCAGAATTATATGACTACTACCAAACGTCCTGGCATTCGAGATCAATTTACAAATTTTGCGCGAAATTTGGCAGAGAAGGTACTAACGCAGACAATACTAGATCGCGTTACTGGAAAACATCAATAAGATGATAATTCTAGCATTTTACTCCTTCAAAGATCCGTGTCTTACAAGGTAATGTCTTTAAATGTAGCATTTTTTCAAAATTTGAAAAGAAAATTGTTATTAATATAACTCTAGAATATTTTAATAAAAGTCTCAAATTAACATTCAGAGAATTGAAAAGAGTTAGTTAGCGGAAAAGTGTGTTATATAGAAAATTAACACATTATACTTTGCAAATTAAAAATTCTTAGTTAATATAGCTTTATAGTCTATGATTTAAACACATTTTTCGAGTTTTCTAATGTATAGTTGAACAACTTTGAAAAGAAATATGTTGTTCAGATTGTAATAATAAAATTTAATTAAATAAAAATAAATCCTGATAAGATATAATAATAACATACTAATTAATAACAATTGTAAATTATTTTTTTATCCTTTAGATTTACATACATATAATACTCTCTGGCAAAGATTCACAAAGTACAAAAAATAGAATTTATAATTCATCTCTTTCTTGAGAAAATTCAATCTTTCTCACACTTCCCAAAAACAATGGTACTCTGCTTGGTTTATGTTCAATCACAAATAAGAACGGACGATCCACGACAAACTCCATTGGTGAAATTATCATCCTTTTTAGTCTTATTCCAACAACTGCAATTAATATTATTTATTTTAACGTTATAAGTTTATTTAATTTTTTATTATCCACAAAGATAGATAAATTACCTGTTGCAGCAGCAGCTTCTGAACCTTCTTCGTTAACTTCTATGAACATTTTTTGTAATGCATGACTTACTTTCAGAGGAACGTTTGAGAGACGTCTAAAATCAGCGTCATCTTTAAACATCGTATTTAAGCCAATCTACAAATAAAACTTTTAGTTTCTAAAATTTGTTTGTATTTTTATGTCTTAGTTGTTTAAAACTTATATTTCGTTAATTATTTACTTTACATAAAGTGTCTTTCAAATTTGTGGTAATTTCAAATTTAAATTTAGGTAAATATAATGAAATCATTTCTGTAGATCTAGGTGCATCAACCAATGTATTCCAATTAAAATTGTTTTCTAAAACTTGCAATTCTATCTCTCTATCTGGTAATAATATTATCATTGCAATGTCTTGGTTCTGAAAAATTGCTCATGTTAATTTTATTTTTTGAAGTTTCTTTTCTCCCTCTCTCTCGCTTGCTTATCTCCCTTACTCTACATAATCACTTACCAAGTATGGAATCTCAATAAATGTTGTATGCCAGGTTGATATTTTACCATAAGCATATTTTGATTTTTTAAACATTGTTGGAACAAGATTCGTTTCTGTTTTGGAAACATGAAATGTGCGCTTTGCCGTATTTCTTTCGTCAAACGTGTGTAACCATTTACTCTTAAAATAAATAGCATTTATCAACATGATTCTTGTATCCTCACCGATATCGTCTGTTGAAAATAATTTAATCATTATCATCAATAATTTAAATGTATTATACATATTTCTATAATTTATATTAAATTATTAATAATTGAATAATTAATTACCAGAGGAAATTACGTTAGATATCTTATTGTTTGTTGTTTCTTGTATCCATATGTTAATCATTTTTGCAGCATATATATTATCTTTAAAATCTAATCTGGCAATTGAACATTGAAATATATTTGTGCATGTTGATAAAAAATCAGCCATTAAATCAAATCCATCTTGGATGTATACTTTATTTGCTATACGCAATTCGAGGTCTCCCATGTTCTAAAATATATTTAGATGTATGTGCAATTTCAACCATAAAAAGAAGCTAAAAGAAATTAGGTTTTGCGATTTTTTTTTACATTTAATAAAAGGATCAGAGTTTTAAATTCATCATTCAAAGAAACTGTATCATGATGAAGAACAGATTTCAATTCTTTCAATGTAAATCCTCCAGCACCGTTAGAAAGTAAAGATAATATCATATGTAAATTCAAAGGAGAAATTACAACATTGTTGCCGGTACCGATTGATAAACTCTATAATGAAATACAAATTAGTAAATTCTTCAAGTAAGATATAAAAATATTGTAACTATAATACATACCTTAAATAATGGAATAGTAAAATTATTACATGCTACAGATAAGACATTAGAAGCATTTTGCTCTTTACTCGACAACATGTTCCGATAAGATTCTGTTAGCGCACTACCAATGACAATTACAAATAAAACTGCAAAAAGATTGGCTAAAAGAATAAAGGCTGCTATCTTGAATAATGCTAAGAATCGATCATATAGTCACAAATATAATCACAACAGAAAATATTTGTTAATAATATTTATTAGTACTGGTACTATCATCACCTGTCCGGGTAAACATAATAGTATGCAATACTATTGCATGAGTCTCTTCTTCTCTCTCTTGCAAATAATGAATGGGAAATATGAGTAAGAAATGAAGAACATGAGTTAACAATGTACAAGTTCATATTCCATTTTTTCTCAAATATCGTTGACCAATCGTCATTTTAAACAACTAAATCTAAATCTAAAATGTATCCGAAAAAGTTAGAAAACCAACACATCACTCCATTTTAATCGAACTTGTTTGGTTCTAACATAGGTTAGGTGCTAACCTTAGGTGCTAAAAGGATACTAGCCAACTAATTGGATTTGCATTTGCACCAACTGTCAAGAAGCTATTTGTTAAATTGCAGAGAAAGAAGATGATTTAAATCTTATGACAGATATCTTGATTGAGGTCCGACAATACCAATTTTCGATTAGGGAAGAATGAATTTCCTTCAAGATTTCTAAAATTTCGTCTTGATCTATTCCAATGTGCTAACGTCCCCACCACTAAAATGAAAAGTTCTCTGTTCGTTATTTCATTTATATACATGTTTATATTTATGTTACACATGTTGAACACCTAGTTGTCGATGAATGTCGATATTATTAATTATGGTCACGGTTTAAGAATGATATTTATAATTTGATGTCTAATTTAAGATTATTAAGTTGCAATGTATTAGAAAATCTGAAGATTCAGTCTAGTTTTTATTCAATAAAATAGTAATTATTAGTTATGATACAGCATCTTAAGTTCTCATACAATTCCCAAGAGTACAGAGTGAACATGAATATTGCAGTTTTTTAGTTTTAGTTATTTTCTGCTAGATCAAAATATTAATTTGAATAGATGCATGTGTCGCAGCACTACTGAGCTAGATTCTTTCTGTTTAGGAATGTTTTCACCAACTTTTCTCATTCGGATATTACTTTGGGCATAAAAAATGATAGGTAGGTAAAAAGAAAGAAAAAGGACATCCATTCCAAGAGAATTCTTAAAAAGGAACATTCATTAGCGGAGGGAGTATTTCAGACACCTTCCTCTCTCTCTCTCTCTC